CAGGATTACCACTTGGTCTTTTCTCCCTGCAAACTACTGATTCTTGAGGTTATTCCACTCCAGTTCATGACCTTTCTTTTTTCCCAACCATCAAGCTTTTCAAGGACTCTCTAGATTGTAGTTCTACTGTTCAGCATGTCAACCTCTACCTCCTCCAAATCAGCCATATTCTCAAATGTGCTGCTAGTTAATTCCATCACCTGTGTCAAGGCATTGGCTCTGGGTTACTCTGCTTGCTGGCCACCAACTGCATGTCAAACTACCAATTATTGCCCTTTAAGCCCAGCAATCCCGCCAATTTTCAAACCACCTAAATGTGCTGTTCTTCCAAGAACAATTCCAAATAAGAATGCTGTGGGCAACGATGCCAAAAGTCTTTGCTTTAATGATTCTGAATTGGATGCAGTCTTCTCAGAAGAACAGATACTACTACACGGAATTCTACTCATAAAATGATTGATATTGACTCCTCCTAAGTCAAGTTATTGCTGATGTGTTTGCTTTTAATTTGCTGAATATCTGAACAAGAATTGTATTGAATGGGGTTCAACTGGCAACAGTCCTGTAAGAACAGGAAGAAATACGATGAGAGAAGAGAGCCTAAGAGGATGCTAGCCTGCCAAGTATTAGTTTGTGAAAAAGCAACTGTAAGCACTTAAGTCTTTCTTCATGTTAGACTCCTCCCATAGCAGTTAGCAAATGCACTAGGAAACCACCTAGAATTGTTTGCACGTAATGTTGGAACGAGCAAGTACAATTGTCAATGAATTTTGGAATGAATAAACTTCTCAACAGCTATAAGATCGGCTCATAACCTTCATTGTCTTACCTTGCAGCTGCATTGGCCAGTACTATCAATGCACGAGCACTTCCCCAACTCTGTATCACAGCTCTGTGGATCAGTCCCTGCCAGGAAGCAGTGACAAGCAACACATTGTGGATAATTCCAGTAACCCAACCTGCACTCTGTGCATTTATCTCCAGAGAATTCAGGGCGGCAGAAGCAACAGCCTGTATTTAAGTCACACTGAGAACCCAGGGCTCCAATGAGGCTGCAGTCACAGGGCTAAAAGGGAGAGAAACAAGGAGAAAATTGCAATTGTTCATCTGAAAAAAACCACCCCAATAACAAAAAAGCAACTCACCTCTTTTTAGTATCTATAAATAAAGTACAGCAGTGAATTCCCATCGTCCAAAAGTAACATATCTGAATTATAAGGCTTGGCATTTATCTTTATTCAACAAGGGTCAAGCAATTACACTAAATAAATTTACAACACTGTTTTCTTTTTGAACAGTTATTACTTATCACTGATAAGTTAGGCAGTGAAATCAAATAAATCCAAAAGTGTCAAGGACACTGGGATACTTTGTGGACCAAATTAACTTAAAAACTCTAAGTGCTCTCTAAAAAGTGCTTTCTATGTAACTCCTCTGCAGGGTATGTTCAGACCACTTTGCTAAAACTGGAATTGTTCGGGGACAGTGGTCCCAGTGGAATCTAGTTCAATGTTTATTACTCATCCATCAGACAGGTAACTATCTTCTTTGTACAAACAGGACTTTTAGATTACAGTAATTTACACAGTAAGGGATAGAGATTTAGTCATGTGGTATACTGGGAAGTAAACTCACTCATAGAATGAGACTTTTGCAGGCAGGTAAGGATAGAAATAGGTAATTTGCCAGGGGTCTAGATATCGAGTACAGAAGTAAGTAGCAGGGAAAGCTGCAGGCTTCCAAAGAACAGAAGAATCCCTCAGTGCTATTACTGTGACTGTACTGCAAAGTTAGCACAGGACATTTGCTGTGATCACTGGCGTGACCAGAATCTCATATGGAGAAGTTCAGCTTGCAGAAGCAAACTCAGTGCCAGTAGTACAGGTTACCACAGTAACTGATATGGATAGACTTGCTAAAATTAAGGACACAAAGCTGAAAAAGAGAGGAGGAAAATGTAGATTCAGTTTCTAAGCAAAACTGTTTATTACATAAATACTTAAAGCACCTTTTTTCTGATCTGAAAAGACCATTTATAAAGAAGGTGATTATATACAGGAAACACTCAAGTTCAATCTTTACTGAATGCTGGAGAAACCATTTAACTACTGGTTAAATGTTAGACTGGGACATTACTTTCTAACCTAAGAAATACAACATTCTGACAGAAAGAACCTTATTGTACAAGATACATTTGAACATAAGTTTAGAAAGCAAATTGTTCACCGTATATTGAAATAGCTTGGTGTGCAATATCAAAACCTAAATTACAATCAAATGTTGTGTTTGTTTTGCGAGCACGCAGTTTTATGCAATGCCCTCCATCCCCCTGAGTTACGACAGCCCTGGAAATCTTCTACAAAGAGTGTGAGCAGGAGATTCACATCTCACTTTGCAGAGATTAGCTGCAACATACTGAAAGAGATGTGGGCTGATAGATCATTATTAATTTAGATGGTGCCATGGAACTGCCATACTAATGCGCTCACATAAAAGACAATCAGAGAATATACTCCAGAGCTCAAACAGAGGTCTTCAACCTCATTAGGCTGGTTTCAGAAGCCAAGAGTCTATATCACAGCAGCACAGCAGAGGTTTCACAAGAGGACTCTTCCATACATAGAAAAAAGAAATCATTCTTGATAATTAGTTTGCAGCCTGAGCTACATGACAAACAGCCTTTTAAGAAAGAGTATTAATGGTGTATGACCATGTTCAGACAGGACATAGGTTTTTGGAGTAATTGCAGCAATACTATAAATTCCTCATCATCAATGAGAATGGCAGAGAGGAGAAGGCATTTGAACTTTCCACAATATTCACTGTGACTAGTTTTCAACCTTAACCGAATACTTCTCCCCTTAACTCAAGAGCAGGACATTAACACCAGCTTTCATGGCCTCTTTGACATATTACCATTGTTTTCCTATTTCTTCTCTCTTCTTCCCTCCCTCTTAGAATATTTTTTAACTGTGTCAAACACTGGAATAAGAAAGATTTAAAGGCTAATGAGAAGGTTTATTTCCCCTTTAAGAACACAGGAAGAAAGTGCATTTTACAGCTAAGATGGCCTTTTCTTTTCTTCTCTCTTCACTGTCTTTTATGCACAAGTTGAAGCTCTTCTCAAGTAAACTTCAAGTACAAATACCCAGTGTGGTATCACAATTTGGGCCAAAGTAAATTTGTTCTGCAAAGGCACTGTCAGTTACCTGTAACTATACGTCTATATATTGTACAGTACTGTGGTAATCTCCTCAATCACGTTAAACGCAGCTAGAATAAAAGAAACGAG